CACACCACCATGCCCAGCTAATTTTTTGTATTTTTAGTAGAGACGAGGTTTCACCATGTTAATCAGGATGGTCTCGATCCCTTGACCTCGTGATCCATCTACCTCGGCCTCCCAAAGTGCTGGGATTATGGGCGTGAGCCACCACGCCCGGCTCTTGCTTCCTTTCTTGAGATGTGAATTGGGCTTCAATGCCTACTCAATGCCCATTCTCATCTACCATCCTATCACTCTATGGAGGCACCCACAGACCTAACTGGCATGACTGGCATGCCAACTGCTAAACGCTCTCACTACATCATGAACTTCCTTTTTGAAAAACAGTTATTACTCAAATTAATGTTTATAAATTAATTTTTAAAAATTATTTTTTGAGACAGGGTCACGTTGTTAACCAGGCTGGAATGCAGTGGTGTAATCTTGGCTCACTGCAGCCTCTACCTCCCAGGCTCAATCAACCCTCCTGCTGTGACTACAGGCATGCACCACTGTACTCAACTAATTTTTTAAATATTTTTTTTGTAGAGATGGGGTTTAACTATCTTGCCCAAGGTGGTCTCAAATTCCTGGGGTCAAGAATCTTGCCCACCTAGGCCTCCCAAAGTTCTAGGATTACAGGCATGAGGTACCATGCCCAGACAAAAGTTAATGTTTATAGGTGCCAAATATTTACAAAACCCATAAGTGACTATAGTTCAGTTTTAAAATATGTAGATACTGTACTTAATTGCTTCACCTTCAAAATTTATTATTATTATTAATTATACAATGTTAAGCACTTAGTTCCAAGCATATAAAGTAACACCTTACTGGATTTATTTTTCATTCCATTTATTCAAGTTATTTGGAGGTTCTGTTATAGGGTTTTTTAAAACCCTAGATTTGGGCCACTGCTGTGGCTCATGTCTGCAATCACAGCATTTTGGAAGGCTGAGGTAGGTAGATCACTTGTGGCCAGGAATTTGAGATCAGCCAGGCCAACAAGGTGAAACCCTATCTTTACTAAAAATACAAAAATTAGCCAAACGTGGTGGCGCATGCCTGTGATCCCAGCTACTTGGGAGATTGAGGTACAAGAATTGCTTGAACCCAGGAGGCAGAGGTTGCAGTGACTGCACCACTGCATTCTAGCCTGGGCAACAGAGAAAGACTCTGCATCAAAATACTGCCCAGATTTGATCATTACACATTGTATACATTTCTATCAATATATCACAGGTACCCCGTAAATATACACAACTATTATACATCTATAAAAATTAAAAATACAGTTTTAAAGAATTCCTCCTTTCAGTCAGGAATCGTATCTTACTCCTGTCATTAGTGCACAGGGTCTGATATGTTGTAGTGGCCAATAAATGTTGTTTACATGAAACCCAGAAACAAGGTTATTAAATGTATAGAACATGGTATGTAACCTATTTCATGGTATCCTGTAAAATATGAAAATCAGGTGCGGTGGCTCACGCCTGTAATCCCAGCACTTTGGGAGGCTGAGGCAGGTGGATCACTTGAGATCAAGAATTCGAGACCAGTCTGGCCAACATAGTGAAACCCTGTCTGTACTACAAATACAAAAATTAGCTGGGCATGGTGTTGGATGCCTGTAATTCCAACTACTCAGGAGGCTGAGGCAAGAGAATCGCTTGAACCTAGGAGGTGGAGATTGCAGTGATCTGAGATCGGCCCACTGCACTCCAGCCTGGATGACAGAGCAAGACTCCATCTCACAAAACAAAAAATGAAAAGAAGAGTTACTAATACTCAGTTTTGAACTGTTTAAGATTCACAAAAACTGAACCCCATCCATCTTGGAAACGGTGCAGTGTAATTGATAGGAGTTTGCAGAGGAACTGGCTTTTCTATTGCTCAGCTAGCTACATCTTATCAAGGAGTAGCTTAAGACAGCAAAGAAGCACAAGCTCCAGAGTTAGACAGCCCTGGACTTACATAAAGTCTCAGTCTCAGCTTCCTAATATGTAAAAGATGTTAGGTTGAACTGTAACAAACAGACATTCTTTTCTGGGGTGGGGTGGTGGGGTGGGAAGCGCAGAACTATGATAAAACCTAGCTATGCCCACCCCAGAGCTGGTCTACATAGCATCTCAAACTCTCTTAATCACAGCTCTCAGTGTGTGTACGCTGGGAAGACAGGATGCAATCTGGAGCACTGTCACACGGCACATGCCTCTTCAATCCAATAAGCAGCTGTGGGTAAGAACTAGCCTCAACTAACCAGAGAAAGGAGACAGCTAAGACAAATTCAACTTACCTCTCTTCAGGCATTTCCAAAGCTTTTGGGGAAGAAAAAAAATAAACCACACAGAGAAAATAAGGGAAAAATAGAAAATTCCAGGAATTCCTGGAACAAAGGAGAGAATCTCAGTGTCTTTTTACCCCAAGGCTCATGTAGAAACTTGACAGCCACATGGCTTCTGGAATGACTCACATCCAAGAAGCTTCTACTAATTTCTTTCATCAAAGGTAACTGGAATTACAAAATGAAACCTCCAGAACACTGCAACATCATGCACAAAAGCACTGGATAAGCAGACAACCTTGAAAAAGGAGACTTTTGGTCCATTGTGCCTAAGCCTTGAAAACCGGGCCGCTGAAGGAAGGGTGCTCAGGATGGCACAGCCACAGTCACTCCAGCAGGGCCAGCATCTTGTCTGCCCATCTAAAGACAAGCTGCATGTGAGTCAGGCTTAAGTCAATGTGACACATACTGACTGACTTCATTCATTTGCCTACAAGATTACAGGTCACTTAAAAGTGCTAGAGATTCGACAGAAACAACCAGGGAAGGAATGTAGGAACTCTAGTTTGACAAATATCCACAGTCACCAACACAGAAACCAAACATAGGCGAGACACATATGTGTAATTTCTAAAGATTTATCTGTCCCTGGTGTAGGGAAGAATGTTTGAAAAAAAGACCACTGAGAAGACTTCAGGTAAATTTTTTTTTTTACACTTACAAAATGCTAAATTATCAGATGTCAACTGTTGAGTGGTACTCTGTAAGGCATCCTTAAAAACACAATGCTGGTTCAGGCACAGTGGCTCACACTTGTGATCCCAGAACTTTTGGGAGGCCAAGGCCAGCAGATCACTTGAGCCCAGGAGTTTTGAGACCAGCCTGGGCAACATAGTGAGACCCCCTCTATACAAAAAAATAAGAAAATTAGCCGGGTATCGTGGCCTGCGTCTGTGGTTGCACCTGCTTGGGAGGCTGAGGCAGGAGGATCGCCTGAGCCCGGGAGGCAGAGGTTGCAGTGAGCCGAGACTGCGCCACCGCACTCCAGAATGAGACCCTTTCTTTTTTTTTTTTTTTTTTTTTTTTGAGACGGAGTTTCGCTCTTGTTACCCAGGCTGGAGTGCAATGGCGCGATCTCGGCTCACTGCAACCTCCGCCTCCTGGGTTCAGGCAATTCTGCCTCAGCCTCCCAAACTGAGGCTGGGATTACAGGTAAGCGCCACCATGCCCAGCTAATTTTTTTTTTAAGTAGAGACGGGGTTTCACCATGTTGACCAGGATGGTCTCGATCTCTTGACCTTGTAATCCACCCGCCTCGGCCTCCCAAAGTGCTGGGATTACAGGGGTGAGCCACCGCGCCCGGCCCACAAAACCCAACTCAATGCTGTCTTGAGTGCTCAATGAGAAAAACCTACTCTTATTAGAAAAAAAATGGAAGAAGCAAAATGAAAATGTGTCCTGGGAAGTTAACTTTGTTGCACTCCAAATAAAAATTTGGCATTGGCTAGTAGTTATGCACTCTATGCATGACAATTCTCTAAGGGCTCCAAAGAGAGTGTCCTGGAAGTTCCAGCAAATTTGCCCTAGGTTCCAGGTACACCAGAATGCTTACAGCAATGTTCTGAATAGCCTGTCTGGAACAAAACGCATACCCAGAGTAGAATGGATACACTGTTCTATTCACACGGTGGATTACTAGGCAGCAATGAAAATTACCTATAGATATACAGTACACCAATTTCATACTGATTGAAAACCACAAACACCACACTATGATCCACTCGCAAAAGTTCAAAAACAGGCAAAGGAAAACGAGATCGCATGCACACATAAGTGGTAAAGCTGTACGGAAGCGATAATCACACTAGTCAGGCTAGAAGAGAGAATCAGGCTCCGAGAAAGGAGCACAGGGCATGGGCAAGAAACTACTGGGGTGCCGGTAATGCCCTTTTCATTTTTATCTGCGTGTTTTATTGATTCTTCTTTAAACGTGTAGGTCGTATGCACTTTTCTGCGTATGCTATCTCTGTTAAAAATGTATCGGCAACGCTGCGGGGAGATTCGTGCCTCAAAAGAGGTGGGGGCTCGAGAACGATTTGCCTCGCCATTAAGCCAAGGCAACTCCGAACGCTGGGAGACGCAGGCCCGGGGTCGGCCGAGGTCCTTACGGATTGGCGAACGGGCGCACACCTCTCCTGCATTCAGGAGAGTTGTCAGGGTCGCGTTCCGAGCGACCCCAGAAGGAGCGGCGGTGTTCTCGCCGCTGGCTAAGCCCACCTAGAGCCCGAGCCGCCCTCCGCGTCGGCCCCTCCACCGTCGCCGGCGACTCCGGACAGCCGCAGGGCGATTCTGGGGCTTCCAAAGGTGGGCGGGGCCCCGAGGGAGGAGACGGCGACTCCCGCCGCCCCGCAAAGCCTCGGCTGCCCTACCGACCCCAGGAAGGCCGTGCCCAGCTGTCCGCGGCTCCGCGGGCCCGGGTGGGGTGGGCGTGGTCGCCGCGCGTTGGACGTACCTCTCCACCGCGGAGGAACTACCTCGCCAGTTCCCGGTGACAGAGAACAGATTATTTCCGGGACCGCTCCCGCCACCCTTCCCGGGCCACCACTAGCCGTCCCCTTTTTAATTTGGAGTGCGGGTGCGGGCGCACGCGCACTACCGAGCTTCCGCGAGGGCGCGAGCGGACGGTGGAGGAGGACCCGCCGCCTCAGCCGCCAGGGCCGGGCGCGTACGCGCGCGCCTCGACACGCAGCGAGCTGGCGGCGCGGGTCGGCCGGGGCGCGAGCGTGCGCAGTGGGTATTAGGCCGTGGCTCCAGCCAGGGCGGCGGAGCTCGGGAGGAGCGGTGTGGACGGCCGGGGGCGGGGACGCTGGGCGGCGGGCGTGGCCGGAGTTGCGCGCCGCTGGCTGACGCGCGGTCCCGATAGAAAGGAGAAGGAGGGGCCCCGGGGGTGACGGTGCGGAGCCGCTGCCAGCGCTGGGCTACAGTCGGCGGTCGTATCTGAGGAGCAGGAGGGCCGGAGGCCGAGGCAGCGACGCGGGCACCCGGATCCCCCGAGCGAGTGGCGGCAGCGTCTGGTCAGGCGGGAGACGCTGCCCAGCCGTGGCGGGGAAGATGTTTAGCGTGGAGTCGCTGGAGCGGGCGGAGCTGTGCGACAGCCTCCTCACTTGGGTACGTGGGGGCCGCGGGCCGGCAGGAAGACCCCCTCCCCCCGTCACCTACCGAGACCCCCCACGCGCGGCCTGGGGGGCGAGTGCCGCGGGCGACGGTGCCGTCACATCCGGGGCCCAGGGCGGGTGGGGTGAGGAGCCTCGGCCCAGGGTCCGAGAGAAACTTGCAGGGCCTGAGGCGTCGCGGCTCAGGGCGGACCCAGGCCGGGCCGGGCTGGGGTGGGGACGCAGCGGGCGACTCCGAGACCCGCGCGGCTCGCAGCTGGGGCGGCGCTGCGCTTCGGTGGCAGCCGAGCCTGGCCGCCCGGCGTCTAGGAGCCTCCGCGGCACCTCGCCTTTGTTGCCGCCTTCGCTGAGTACGGCCCTCGCCCGGCCTGGAAAGGGAAAGCACCTGTGAGGGAGCGTGGGGAGAATACGGGAGGTGCCGGGGGACCCCTTTTCGGACCCGAAGCGCCGCTGGCGGTGGGAGTGCTCCCGGGGCGGACGTCTGTCACAGGCGTCGGGCAGACCTAGTTTAGAAGTCTGGAGGTGTCCGGGCGTCAACAATGGAACTCGAAGGCCTTGAGGGACAGCGTCGTGGGATTCTGATTTTAAATTGTTAAACGGTTTTAGATTCCTCACGCTTTGAAGTAAATACGTATTCACTTCTCACGTCCGCGACCGCGCCTTCCTCAAGCTGGGTCTTCAGGACGCGGCCGGGGAACCGATGCCTGGGTTCCAGTCGTTCTCGCCGCGTTGCGGGCCGGGGAGGGGGAGAGATGCGCAGAGCTCAGGCGGATTCCGCTCTGCCTTCGGGAGCGTTCGTTTCACTCATTGCTGAGAAGGTTAATTAAATGTTTGCGGATGTGTTTTTGGAGGCGACTGTAGCATTTGTATTAATTTAAAGGTAAAACACGAATGTGAGAAAATCTGTTTAGCCTTGTCTTGGGTTACGAGTCGGGAATCCCTGGAGTGTAGACGTCACGCTCCTATGCAAGGCACCTTGCTGGAAAGGCTGGAGAAGTATTGCCTTACGTTGGTTTTGAAAAGTAATAAAAATAGTCTGAGGTTTTTATAATTTGGATATGTCACGAATCAATTTCTGTCCTCTGAAACAGACTGTATACAGTGGTAGAGCTTGAGGTAGCCAGTTGCATATTAGACCGTTTAGGGGATTTCAGATAGTTAGCAGCAATATGTAGTTAATGTGCAGCTTACACTTCTGTTGGGTTCCACCTCCAGGCAGGGAGATGACTTTCACTGCTGTATTTCAGAAGAGAGGAAAACTAAGTTGCATAATGTGGCCAAGGTTTGACTAAACAAACAACAACAAAAAAGATAGAGGAAAGAATTACTAAATTAAATTTTTTTTTTAATTCAGTTTCCGTAGAGACTCAAAAATTGTCAATGCCGACTATATTTCAAGTCGTCTTGGCAGGGTATTGGGAAAAGTTTTCAATTAGCAGTAATCGCGCCTTGGACAAACCTCATTGGCTACAATACTGCCACTGCGCAAAGCTCTAAATTCTTTGATAATGTGAGAGGAATAAATTTGGCCGAATCTGTAAATCTGTAAACAGAATGCTGAGGAACTTAAGATTGGAGTTTTTGAGTCTGTGCAAGTAGTGCTTCCCTTTATGCTAGAAAAAGAAGAAGGCAAAGATGAAGCTATTTGAATCTAAGTAGGGCTGCGTTGTTTAAAATCTAGGAAGAAAAAAAATACATGAAAATAGAGAGATGAACAGAGGCTCCTTAACTTACGATGGGGTTACCTCCCGACAAACCCATCATAAATTGAAAATACTGTAGTTGAAAATACGTTTCATATGCCTGACCTACCAAACACCATAGCTTAGCCTGGCCTACCTTAAATGTGTGCAGAACACTTACATTAGCCTACAGTTAAGTAAAATCACCTATCACAAAGCTTATTTCATATAAGGTGTTGAATATCTCATGCAATTTATTGAATACTGAAAATGAAAAATATGGTTGTATGGGCAGAGTATGATTTCTACTGAATCATTGTAAAGTTGAAAAATAAATTAACCCATCTTAAGTTGGGAACTGTCTGTGTTTGAAGGGCATCTGCAAAAATATGGTACTTAGTAATTGCACTTATGTAAGTGAGAAGTGCTGATAAAAATATAGAGGAAAAATCTGAGAAGTTTGAAAGGCTACTGACAGAACCTGACAACATGAGAGAATCTATTTAGAATCTCATAAAAAGAAAATGGGTAATCCACATTATCAGCTTGGTAGAGAGGTCAGGGAGTATGGTATTGTAGAATAGGGTTTTTGAAATGTCACTGGAAAATTCATCAATGAAAATTTCCGGATAAGATTAGAGATTATCAGTGACAAAATTGGAGGGCAGTGTTTATCAAGATGTAGAATTCTAAGATTTGGAAACACTTTAAAAGACATCTTTCAAAATAGAATGTAAATGCTGGGTTTGTTCTCTTTCAGCTGTCATTATAAAAAGCAGAATAAATGTTTTGGCGAGCAATGTTTGATGTCATTTACATGTCTAGTAGCACCCCCCCATCTGGAAGCCAGATTAATGCTAAACACAATTCTAAAACCAAATGCAAGCAAAAGTGTACACATACACTCCAAAGAAAAGTCTCATTTAGATTAATTTGCTCTATTTTATGTCAACTTCTAGTCAGTTTGGTTGCTTGTGGGGTTTTGCTCTCACTGAGCAAAATTCGGATAACTGTCAGTGACAGACAAGACCCAAGAGCTGGATGATTCCGTCTTTGGGCTGACATGCTTATGTACTTCTACAGGCTTCATGTGCAGTTATTGAAGATCAAAATTATAATCCTGAGCATCAGATAAAAGTTTGTTTTCACTACATAGCATTTAGAGATTGGAGAGACGTATATAGAACATTTTAGAAATTATTCTACTAGAAATGGCTAAAGTAATAAAAGCTCAAGTACTTAAAGGGATGATTCTTCCACTTACATGGAACTCAGTGGAACATCTCATTGCCTCACATGCTGGGTAAATTGCCCTTTTATCAGACAGCCTACTAGCACAAGAACCATATGTTCCAAATTTTTGTTGAAAAAGAAAATTATAAAAAAGTTAAGTATCATCCTACCAAGGGGAACTTTCCCATCTTAAGCTGAAATTCGAAATCAAAGTTCTTGCAAGCAAGTTCAGCAGGACATGCTTGAAAATTTCCACTGTGCCTCCTCTCTCCACTCTCTGAGTCAAAATCTGCCCTGCCTGTTAACACCTGTCAAGCCTAATTTCTTGAACTGTATGTGAATCTTGAAAAGATAGCACTTTTCCAGGTTTTAGAGACTGAAAAACAAGAAAGTCTACAATGCTACCAAGTTTTGTTTTGTTTTTGTGTGAACCTCTGTCTATGTTTCAGAGGAATTGCTACGAAGCTGTGACTAAAAAAATAAGTCATCACATAGGCTCAGTACACTTTGGGGTAACCTAGCAACATTAATATATCCTTATTGTTTTCATATTACTTATTTGGCAACTTATAAAATGCATACTAGTGTATAGAATTTGGGGTGGTATAATTATTACGGTGATATCTCTCCCATTCCATTCTCTGTCCTCTGCCTAACTTGATTCTGCCAACAACTTTTGTCCTGTCATGGAAGAATAAGTCACTGATATACAAAAGTTAAGGCACTTAAAAAAATAGTATAGCATAAGAGTATGCAGGTTCTGACATTAGGCAGCCTGGGTTCAAATCCTGGTTTTGTTCCATGCTAACTGTAGGTGACTTTGGACACATAACTTCATTACTGTGTTTTGATTGCATTGATATTTAACATTTCGTTTGTTAACTTCATCAGTGACTTTCATGCTTTAGTATTGATTTGCATTATCTAGAGAGCTTACTAAAACATTGATGCCCAGAATTGCTAATTCTGTAGGTCTGGGCTGGCTGAGAGTTTGCATTTCTAATAGGTTCCCAGGTGATGCTATTTTTGGTGCCTTGGGGGCCACGTTTTGAGAAAATTGTTTGACATTTAGTGCTGGACAGTTCTTTGCTGTGGGCACTGCACTATGTATTATGTTTAATATTTAGTATTAGCATCCCATTGCCTCAACCAGCTAGATGACTATAGCACTCAACTCACTGTTACAGCCAAAAATGTCTCCTAAGGAGCAAAGTTATCCATTGCTCTAGAGATGGTAATTCTAGGTGATCTCATGCTTTACTCCTCTCTTGCTTTTGTTGGGGAAGGGGAGGTAGAGGTTGGGTGGTGGTAATAGAGCTTCTTGGAATTAAAGGAAAGGTTATAACCCTTCCGGTAGAATTTAATGTCTTAATGCAATTAGGTGCAGTTGTCTTTCAGTTTTACTGTACTGCTATTCTGAAATATTCCATAGATGTTAGCTCAGAGAACTGGTGACAGATTCTTAAAAATTAAGATACAGTTTACATACCATAAAATTCATCCTTTTAAAGTGTATAATTTATTGGTTTTTAGTATGATCACAAGATTGTGTAGTCATCATGACTATCTAGTTCCAAGAACATTTTCATCACCCCAAAAATAAACTCTGTAGGGATAAATTTTATTTAGGATCTATATCACTTTCATCTTGCAGCAGAGGTGTACATCTCTGACTCTTGTGAGCAACTATGTACCTCAAGGGCTAATACAAAGAAAATAATTGAATAAAGCCATGTTTTAAAAACAAAAATGAAAATTTAGCTTTCTCTAAGTCCCAAGAGAAAAACAGATCAAGTCTTTTTTTTTGAGATGGAGTCTTGCTCTGTTGCTCAGGCTGAAGGGCAGTGGCCCAATCTCGGCTCACTGCAACCTTCCCCTCCAGGTTCAAGCAATTCTCCTGCCTCAGCCTCCCTGGTAGCTGGGATTACAGGTGCATACCACCACGCCCAGCTAATTTTTGTATTTTTTAGTAGAGAGAGGATTTTACTATGTTGGCCAGGCTAGTCTCGAACTCCTGACCTCAGATCTGCTCATCTCAGCTTCCCAAAGTTCTGGGATTACAAAAGTCTTAACAACTAAATTGCTCGCTTTTTTTGAATTACCTGCTTTGTTGAATTGCTTCTTCTGACTGGCCAGAGGCTGTTTTCCAATCTTGCATCCTTTCCCTTTAGTAGTGCTTTAGATGATAGGATTCTAAATGCTGAACCAGTGTCCAGCTATGTAAGAATTATTTGATGATCTTGTTAAAAATAGATCCCAAGCTTCCTACACACAGATTCTGATTCAGTAGGATAAGCTGAGAAATATGTATTCTCTCTCTCTCTCTTAAAAATCTTTTGTTTAGACAGGGTGTTGCTCTGTTGCCCCAGCTGGAGTACAGTGGCACACTCACGGTTCACTGCAGCCTCAAACGCCCAGGCTTAAGTGACTCTCCCATCTCAGCCTCCTGAATAGCTGGGACTACAGCTGTGAGCCACCAGGCCCAGCTAATTTTTGTATTTTTTTGTAGAGACAGAGTTTTGCCATGTTGTTCAGCATGGTCTCGAGTTTGTGGGCTCAAGTGATCCAGCTCTGATCTCCCATAGTCATTACTTATACCTGTAATCCCAGGTGGCTTATACCTGGGATTACAGGTATAAGCCACCACGCCCGGCCAAAATATGTATTTTCAAAATGGAAACCTCCCAGATGATTCCCTACACACCCCAGTTTGGGACCATTGCTTTAGACTTTGCAGAATACCTCATGGGCATTCATTTTCTTATTCATTCAGAAGCAGCACATCCCTCCATAAGCTGTTTTTCCCCTATCTTTTTTTATATGGAAAAACTGATATTGAGAGAGATGAAATGTACTGTCCAAATTTACAGGGCAAAACTAGGAATTCAAATTAGTTCCTTTCATTCAAAGTGGTGTTCACTGATGGCTTGTTCTGTATCGGGCATTGTGCTGAGGTCACTGATATAGAGAAGAATGAGACCTGACCCTCACTGCTGCCTCTCTTTTTCCTTCTAAACAAACCTACAAGAAGGAAGTTGGTTTTTCTTTTATGAAACTGGGCCACCGACTTAGCAACTGTAATATGAAAGCCAGTGCTTATTTCTTTTAAAATTATTACCACATTACTAATGAGCAGGCAGCTGGAGATAGTATGGAGTAAAAATCAAAATCAGTTCCGGCAAATGATGTTTGTTTCTTTTATTCATTTACTAATCATGTATTGCACCTCTACCAGCTATTAGGTTTGTGTCAGGGTAGCTTGGAAGGACCCTCTTATCACCTGTCCCAAATAGACACCTAAGTGAAAACTTGCTACAAGTATCTTATAATTCCCTGGGCCTCTACCACTATAACTGTCTCCACCCACAAGACTCTCCTATATTATATATGAAGAAGCTACTGACTGTACTCTTAATAGTTGCCTTTTAAAGATTTGATAAATGATTTGGTACAGAGAAGTGGACATTCACCCACTACTAGTAAGAGAATAAATTGCTACAGTATATATTTAGGGCAGTTTGGCAGTTTATCAAAAACCTTAAAATGTTCATACAGTTTTTGACCTAGCAATACTTCTTTTCTAACCCAATAAATAAAAATATATGTGAAGACATATGGTCACCTGAATGTTATTTCCAGTATTCTCATTGTCAATACTGAGTTTAGCTTCATCCTGTTAATATATAAACCTACTTAAATGGGTTTCCCTGTCTCTTTCCCTTTACTCCTTCCTTCATACTGCAGCCAGTGTAATCATATATTAATACAATGCAAACCTCATGGCTCACTCTTCTGCTTCAAATGCTTTGCTTCTTTTATTCATAGGATAAGGTCTTAATGTGGCTTCTAAGATTTTGCATGATAATTCTTCATTCTTTTGCCCTGTCTTTCACTGTTTTATTTTTCCCCGTTTCTGTTTCTTCCTCTGATTCTTACCCCTGCCCAGTCTGTACCAAGCTGCTCTTCATACCTAGATTACATTCCACTCTCACTTATCATCTTTATGCTTGCTGTTGACACCTCTGTAATACCGTTTCATTTTTTCTAGTTGTAAGTTCCATAAGAGGGTGGCCTGTGTCTGTCTGTTCTCAGGTTTTGATTTCCTTCTAAATCCTGAGTACACTACCGGGTGTAATCATTATTGGCTACATTTTCTTATTTTAGAGATAATTTACTCTGTTAGGGAAAGTACATTTCTTGGCTACATCATGTTGCTTACTACAAAGTTTTAGAATGTTTGACATCAAAATAAAGGGAATATCTAACCATTCTAAATGTGACTTCTACATCTGTATAAAGATATTCTGCCTCTGAGTAACAGAAACTACAACCTCACCAGGCGTAAAGAATAAATGAATTCATCTCACATAACAGGAAGCATCAAGATTTTTTAATATAGTAATTCAGTTTTTACCTTAAGGATGTTGTTTTTTCTTATTTGTTTGTTTATTTTTTTTATGGGGGGGGTTGGGGAGGAGGATGTAGTTCTTTCTAGCTCTCCTCTCTGCCTTTCACTGCATTGGCCTAATCTTAAGATGATCGCCTTAGTAGTCATGAGATGACTGCTCTCAGTAATGAAGGCAACATACTTAAATCAACAGGCGATTGGCTTTGCTTTCCCGGAAGCATCTCCTTGTCTCTCTTTAGTCCAAATTGTTTTTTCTTTGGTGTCCTTGAGTCAGTCAGTAGTAGAGAGGATGAAGGTGCCATGATTTTTGTAGACGGGTCTTGTGTGAGTAGAATGGATGCTGGGAAGCCACCCAGTATCCACCGCGATTTCTCTTTTACGAGTGGGGAAAATTACAGTAATACTTGGCTGGACATTTCCCTTAAAGGAAAAAGTTTCCAACCAGACTTTTAAAAATTTTTTCCAATCACCAAAAAAACAAAAAACAAAAATAAAAACCCTAAGAAATTGTCTACGTAGGTAACCATAGAATCTCTTCCCCCACTTTTTTCCCTTCAGATCCAGACATTTAATGTGGATGCACAATGCCGGACTGTGGAAGATTTGACGAATGGGGTTGTGATGGCCCAGGTTCTTCAAAAGATGTAAGAATAAATTGCTTATCTTTATGTGTATTCTTATGCATGGATATTTATTAGATTACAAACATAGATTGAAAAACAAAGTGCTTACATGAAATGTGTGTAGAGTAGGACCTGTAGGCAGCAGCAGCAATAGTTTTGATGGCATATACTTGTTAGGTATAGATTGGGTTGCAAGTTTAATAAGGACTATAATTGTTTAGTACTCTAATGGTTTTAGCAGAATTATTTGTTCTTGTATTTTTCTGTTTAAGCTTGGCAGAAATTTTCATGATAGTGGCCAGATTTTGTTGTTACGGGAGACACTAACACACTTACTCCATCTTTAAAATTTTGCTCAAATGTCATCTCATCAGAAACACCAGGCTTGGGTACCCATATAAAATAGCAATGACAGTTCTCTTATATTCTCTATCCCCCTTAAGCTTTTGTGTTCTTCTTTCAAGTTTGTAACACCATCTAATATACCATATATTGGGTTGTTCATTTATCTGCCCCCAATGCCCCCAAACACATATATAGAATGTAAACTGCACATGGAGCCAGGGAATTTGTTTTCACTGTTGTATCCAAGCAACAGCCAAATGCCTGGTTTTATGTTGAACTGTATGAAATTCCTTTTCTTTATAGGGCAAAATGGTCAAAATCAGCAGTTCCTCCTAGTTTAATATGCATTATGGGTGCTTATGTTTGTTGAGTGACTGTAGGAAGGAGTATTTGTTTGGGATATATAAAATGTACCCAATTCTTCTAAGTACGTTGAAAACATAATTATTATGAAATTGATATTGTATGACTATCAGCTTTTGACCTAGGCATTTTTAAAAATTATGTGTGAATTTAAGAAGTCATTGGGTTTGTTGTAATTTGCAGATGCTTTCGTATTTTGAAGACCTGAACACTTACTTGTCAGCCTGATGATTTAAAAAGATTTACATATCACTAGTTGGGTTGCCCTGCATTTCTGTTGAAAATCAATGTCATGAAATGAATTATTGGTTTACTTTGCAGTTAGCTACATAAAGTTGCCATAGACCTCAGCACTTTGACAGCCCACGGCAGGAGTATTGCTTGAGTTCAGGAGTTCAAGACCAGCCTGGGCCACAGAGTGAGAGCCATCTCTACAAAAAAAAAAAAAAAAAAAAAAAAAAGGTCGGATGTGGTGGTGCACCCCTGTGGTCCCAGAAGCTACTAGCAAGGCTATAGTTTGAGGATTGCCTGAGCCTGGGAGTTTGAGGCTGCAGTGAGCCCTGGTCAATCCACTGCACTCTCAATTCTAAAGGCAAACAGACAGATGATCTGAAATGTTGCCAGCATTGCAGATCATCTGTCTGTTTGCCTTTAGAATTGGGGACTCATGTTTGAACATTATAGCTTGTTTTTACTTTCTTCTATAACTTAAAATGCATGGTACGTTTTTCCAGATACATAGGCACACAGGTTTTTTAATGAAGCTCAAGAAAGCTCATTGGAAACGTGGCCTGCTCTGGTTTGAGCACTCTGAAAAGAATAATCTTGCCATTTTTATGGTCACCTATGAGTGGTGCCCTAATTTTAGCTTCCCCACTGAAGTTCTTTTTTTTTTTTTGAGACGGAGTCTGGCTAGGTTGCGAGGCTGGAGTGCAGTGGTGTGATCTCAGCTCACTGCAACCTCTGCCTGCTGGGTTCAAGTGATTCTCCTGCCTCAGCCTCCTGAGTAGCTGGGACTAAAGGCATGCACCACCACGCCTAGCTAATTTTTGTATTTTTATTAGAGATGGGGTTTCAGCATATTGGCCAGGATGGTCTATGTCTCTTGACCTCGTGATACCCCCGCCTCATCCTCCTAAAGTGCTAGGATTACAGGCTTGAGCCACTGTGCCCAGCCTCACTGAAGTTCTTAATAAAAATTATTTGAGTTTGTGTGGGCCTAGCTAAGTGAACTTTACAGGTATATGTCAATAAATGAATTTTCGGCCTAAGCTAGTTTGTGTAGGATCTTTATCACTTAGAGAAACCAGAAGAAAGAAAGTGTATGTATATTGTTTTATCAAGACAAGATTTCAGGAACAAGACAAGGATGTCGACTCTGCTACTTCTGATCAGCACAATCTTTACATTTTGGCTACTATGGACATTTTAACAATAATTTTATCTAATCTATGAACACAGAATATCTTTCCTTTATTGGAGACTTCACCTTCTTTCATCAATGTTTTATAGTTTTCAATCTACGGATCTTTCACCTTGTCGTTTAAATGTATTCTAAATATTTTATTTAATTTGGTAGCTATTATAAATGGGATTGTTTTCATGATTTCTTTTTCAGATAGTTTGTTGTTGGTATATAGAAACACTATTGATTTTTGTAGGTTGATTTTGTATCCTGCAACTTTACTATATTCCTTTACCAGGTCTAACAGTAAAAAGATCTGCACATTCAACTGCATTCCCTATAAAAATTCCAATAACCTTTTTAACAGAAGTAAGAAACAAAGCTAAAATTCATATGAAATAACAAAAGACCCCAAATAGCCAAAGCAGTCATGAGCAAAAAGAGCAAAGCTGGAGAAATCTCACTACCTGATTTTAAACTATATTACAAAGCTATGGTAATCAAAACAATGTACTACTGGCATAAAAGTAGACATATTGACCAGTGGAACAATACAAGTTCCAGAAATGAACCCATACATCTATAATCAGTTGATTTTCCACAAAGGTGCCACAGACACAATGAGAAAAGGACAGTCTCTTCAGTAAAGTGTTTTGTGAAAGCTGGGTATCCACATGCAGAAGAATAAATTCAGACCCTTATCTCCCCCGACATGCAAAAATCAACTCAGAATGGATTAAACATTTAAATATACCTTCTGAAATTGTAAAACTACTAGAAGGAAACATAGGAGGAAAGCTTCTTGACATTGGTCTGGGGGATGATTTCTTGAATTTGACTGTAGAACAGGCAACAAAAGCAAAAATGGACAAACGGGATTACATCAAACTAAAAACTTCTGCATGACAATGGAAACAAGCAACAGAATGAAGAGACAAACTACAGACTGGGAGAAAATATTTGCAAGCCATACATCTAATAAGAGGTTACTATCCAGTCTACAGTCTATTTAAGGAACTCAAACAACTGAATATAAAGAAAACAAATAACTCAATTTAAAAAAGCGTGAAGGATCTGAATAGACATTTTTCAAAAGAAGATATACAGATGGTTAACAAGCATATGAAAAAATACTCATCACTGATCATCAGAGAAATATAAATTAAAACCACAATGAGTTGTCGCCCTCACATCTGTCAGAATGACCGTTATGAAAAAGATGAAAAATAAGTGTTGGTGAGGATGTAGAGCAGAGGGAACCCTTGTACACTGTTGTTGGGAGTGTAAATTAGTACAGCCATTATGGAAAACTGTACAAAAAACTAAAAATAGAATTACCATGTGATCCAGCAGTCCACTTTTGTGTATATAGCCAAAGGATTTGAAACTGGTATGTTGAAGAGATACCTGCGCTTCCACATTTCTTACAGCATTATTCAGGGTGCTCAATTTATGGAAGCAATGTTAGTGTCTGTCAGGGAATGGATGGATAAAGAAAATGTGGTATATATGAACACAATGAAATACTGTTTGGCCTTTGTTAATTGATTGAGACAGGATCTCACTCTCTCACCCATTCTAGAGTATAGTGGATTGACCAGGGCTCACTGCAGCCTCAACTCCCAGGCTCAGGCAATCCTCACACCATAGCCTCCCTAGTCGCTTCTGGGAACAAGGGGTGCGCCACCACACCCAACCTTTTTTTTTTTTTCTTTTTTAGAGATGGATCTCACTATGTGGCCCAGGCTGGTCTTGAACTCCTGAGCTCAAGCAATCCTCCTGCCTTGGCCTGTCAAAGTGCTGAGATTAAAGGCATAAGCCTTCGTGCCCATGCCCCAAAAGAAGGAAATTCTATCATTTTCAGCAGCATAGACAAACCTGGAGGACATTGTGCTGAGTGAAATAAGCCAGGCACAGAAAGATAAATACCGACTCACTTATGTGGAATCTAAAACAATCGAACTCATAGAAGCAGAGATTGGAATGGTGTTGACCAGAGGCAGGAGGCTGAGGGGAATGGGGAGATGATAGTCAGAGGGCACAAAGTTTCAATTAGAAGGAATTCATTTTTTTGAGATTTATTGCAAGGCATGGTGACTATAGGTAATAATAATGTGTATTTCAGAATTCTGAGGGAGCAGATTTCAAATGTTCTCACAATAAAACATAAAAATTGGAGGCAATGGATATTAGTTTGATTTAATCTGTCCACATTGTATATCACAACATCATTTTGTACCTATAAGTATAGTTTGTCATTGTAAACTTTGAAAAAAAATTTTTCATGAATTGAAGTAAACAAGATCATAATATACATTATGTTTTACAAAGTGGTTTTTTAATTTACCACAGTCTTGTGGGCATATTTCTTACTAATAATTAGTTTTCAACCTTTCTTTCTTCCAGAATGCCTTCCTTTTTTCTTTTTATTGAGATACATCACATACAGAAAAGTGTTCTACAAAGTGATAATTTTGTGTGTATGTGTTGCATATCTCCTATAGCCTCCACTCAGATTGAAATACAGAACATTTCCAGCTTCGCCCTACTTCATAACCTCTATGCCAAAGATAGCCATGATTCTCACTTCTGTGCCATTAATTAGTTTTGGCCATTCTTGAATATCTTGTAAGTGGAATGATATAGTATGTACTCTTATGTTTGTCTTAAATTCAGCATAATGTCTGTGAGATTTATCTATATTGTTACAGAATATCTATTTTAAATAGTTGTATGATATACACAACCTCACCAACATTAGTTTTTTCTTTGTCAGTTGATATTTATTGAATGGCTACTTTGTGTCCAGCGTTGCTGATACAACTGGCAGCCACGTAGACATGATATTCCCCCTCAGGCAGTTCATAAGTGGGGAAGACAATTTAATTAACTATGAGAACAAAACTGC